CCCCCGGGCGGGCCCGCCCGGCCCACAGCCGCCCCACGTGCCGTGCGGCGGCCAATGCCCCGCGCCGCCGCCCGCCGTCGAGCAGCTCGGTTGTCACAGCAACAGAGCGCGGCACGGCTCGGCACGGCACGGTCCCCGCTACCCGGGGACACCTGTCCCCCTGCACTGCAAACGGCGCCGCTGGGTTTATGGGTTTGCGCGAACGGCACCGTCCCTTCGCCCCTAAGCGCCCTCCTCGCCGAGTGCTTTGGCAGTCAGGCTCCCGCCCCGGGCAGGGGAGCGGCCCCTCGCTCACTCACCGGCTCCGTCGGGGGCTGGCGCCCTCCTCACCGCGCCTTTCCCGCAGTGCCGTCAGCCGCTGCCCGGCCCTCCTTCCCTCTGCCCCCGCACGGGTCTCCCACGCTGGCCCCGCGTGTGCCCGCAGGAGCCCGAGCCCACGGCCGCCGGGGCTTAAATGCACGTGTGTATGGGCGGCCGCAGAGCGGCCACTGCAGGTGCGAAGTGCCCGCGGGGCGGCATGCGGAGCCCCCGCCCGCGCAGCCCGCGCTGCGGGGCGGGGAGCGCCGCTCGGTCCGTCCCTGCCCCGGGGCAGCGCTGCCCGCGCCCGCCCTGCCCGGCAGCGCCGTGCTCGGCGCTCACTTCACGCCGATAACAGCATTGTGCGGAGGAACAATGGAGTCAGCTGGGCTGCGGTTACACAACCGCCTTAATCCAGCAGAAATTCAGGTTTCACTGAAAGGGACGGCCCGGCGCCATCCCTCACATCAGGCTTGCCCAGTAAAGCAGGTCAGGACCGGGGCTGCCGAGTGCGGACCCCCATCCAGGCCGTGCCCCGAGCCCCCATCGCTGTAGACGCACTGCTAAATGCACCACGGAGAACGGGGAAACAAACTGCCCTGGTGATGGGGATCCCCTTTCACCAGGGGCACAGATCTAGGCCGGCTAAAGTGGCCTCCAGAGAGCAGAAAGAACTGCTTGAAAGGGGAAGCTGTGCTGCAGAAGAGCTGGAATGTCAACCTACAGCTCACCTGGAGACTGCACTGCAGCCAGGGCAGGGCCCATGGACAGCTCTGTTAGTCAGAAAGACATGAGATAATAATACAATGTTTGGCGCACTTTTAGATAGTCCCGTAGGCGGGATGTACATAGACACTGCCACATCTCCAGTCATTACTCCGGTAATTCCTTCCACTGAGGATGTTTACAAACACCCCATCTTATAGCCTGAGCCCTATGGGCGGCACTCACTCCCTACAACAAGGTGAATTATACATACTCAAGTCTTCTGACTCCTGTGCGAGGCCTAGCCAATTCCTGATTGTTTCTGGTGTACCAGGATCCCTGCAGATGTGTGTACATCTGGGCTCTGCATAGCCACTCTTCTCACAGATAGCTGAGCATCCATCCACTGGAGGCATTGCAGAGTGTAAAGTTCCAGAATAACTCAGTTCTGCACTGCTTGGTTTGTATGAACTGCACCTATTTCCCGCTCTCATTTATCAGCTGTGTATCATTACACTGGGAGGGTGCTTCACAGAATAAACTGTGCAGTAAACACCTCTCTGTTCAGTCATGGGCAAGTGGGAGGTGCAGTGCTTTGATTTTACACTCGTGAGTACATGAGTGTCACTTCTGTTGCTGTGTGACTGCTGTGGACGTGTTTGGTAATTACAGATCTCAGAGCTCTCTGCCGGATGCAATGTAATTGCACATGTGGCAATCCAGAATTATAAAAGGAAGAATTTGACTGAGCAATAAATACTGTGGGTGCATGTAGATGAAGTTCAGTGTGACTACAGTGAGCATGATTCAGCCACCTGTCAGATCCTCCTAGTCATCCTAATGAAAAGTCACATCCTTTAGGACACTAATTGTCGCTGCAGGACACTGCAAATTAGTTTGTACCTTGTTCTAATATTGGTTTTACAGCCAAAACCAAATCTGCCTTTCTACTATTTAATTACAATTGTAGCTATTTAGCCATTAAGTTTCACATACTATTTTTTAATAGTTTTAAATGTTTTAATCTCACTTTGGTACTTTTTATAAAACAGCTCATCAGACACAAATGGACCCCACTTCCAGGAAAATGCTATCTCAAAATACTTTTTCCATTTTAATTAATGAGCCAGCTAGCTTCCCATTACCTTTTAGTTCTTAGGAGTTCAAGCCAAGGGAAATTAATTGCCAGCCTGAAAACCACTTATCATTTAAAAAGTTTTAGGCATATGACAAGAGAAAGCCACATCTGGTGTGCAGTGCTGCTCTATGTGACCATGTGGGAGACTTCAGGTTCAGCTTCCACTCCTGAGTCAGTGCATTCCTGGACCCTGAGAGCCATGGAAATGTCTGAGATACATCCTTCAGGTCCTGCTTAACTTCAGATGAAGGACTTTTCCCTTTTGACCACATAGACACATAATTGATCTGAAAAAAAGCAGAACACAAAATTATTCTAGAGATCTAATGATACAATATTTCACATATAATAATAAAAGCAAAATAATTATAAAAGTCCCAAACAAATTTGTGGACTTAGTTTGGGTAAAATAGCTAAAAATGTCCTTGAACTCATAATTTTTCTCCCAGTCACAAAAAAATTATAAATACTGCATGAATACACAGAGAAAATATGGGATAAGGGGCTTCCACCACAGGAATTTGCTTACACACACTTGGAAATCTAATGAGAGCAATGACAGTACTGAAATGAATCTCTGACCTCAGAAACTTAACATCAACTTAAATATCCAAAAAGCACATGGTTGCATTACACATCACACAAAAGCAGGATTAGCTTAGAAACACAAACAGAACTTTAGCCCTCCCACTGCCAAGTCTAGACCAACACATACTTCTGGGAGCACAAGCAGGGACAAACCTGGTTTCTTATCCATTTCTGTCTCATGGTAGTTTAACCTCACTGTCTGAACGGGTGAGAGCTTTGTCCTCTGTGTGGACAAAGTGGCTCTGGCACAAACAGTGCATGAATTTTGGTGGCCGCCCCTTTCCTGGTGGAAACCTTAACAGGGCCACCCGATCGCCTTTTCCTGAAATGTGCCAGGCCTTTATTTCTCTTGTGAGCAGTAACTACGTGTGAATCTTGTCTCAAATGAGCCATTGGATTTTAAAATATCCTCACTTGGGGCAGCATGACACAGTGATGTCTCATGAGTCTTGTTCATATAGAAATTAAGTTTAAAAAGAAACCAAAAAAACAAGATAAATGTATGGCTGTGTTTTCTTCAGCACTGTAGGCTGTTGGCACTGTCCCTGCAACCTGAAACAGAGTGTATTTTAGGTTCCATCCCAAGTGTCTTTTCAGCTTTAGCTGTCAAAGAAGTGAAGTCTGATGCAGCAGATCAAGATTCCTGTGATTCCTGGACACAATTACTGCCTGTTAAATGATGTGGCACAACTGCTTTTGACATGGCTGCCACCTATGTGGTATAATGGCACTGCAGCTGGGAGAATATTGCAAAAGGAGGAAGACAATCAGGAATAGACTGGAAGGTACAGTATGCAAGTCAACAAATTTGAAATATGCTAAAAAAAACCCTACGAAGAACCAACTATCATTAAATTGTCACCAGTAGTAACTGGTGCAAAGAAATGAGTTATGTACTTATAGGAATTTATGAGTTCACAACAACTAATAGATTCCTACAAGCTGTTACTGAAACGTAATTATAAACCCTTATCTTATACAGATAAGGAGATCTAGTTGAATGGAAAAGAGTTTGTTATTATTCTTTCTCAAGATACCTATAAGCCCAATAGCAAGGGCAGACTGAGACAATTGTCCTCTTTGTGTCTGCCTACCTTTGTGCTGCACTGTTGGCTTCAGCACTTAGGAGTAAATATTTTAGCCTAAATGATCTCGATTTGACAGCGTGATTTAAGTTTTTTAATAGCATCAACCCAATAAGATTTAAAAATACATTAGAAACAGCCACACTGCATTTCCCATCCTTACAGCTTTCAGGTAACCTGGCTCATTATGTCATGCCAAGATCCACGAGTGTCATTAGGCAGTGCTTTCAGAGCTCCCCACCTTGATTTATTCCACACTGGTCTGGGAGGCAGAAGGACCTTGTTGGTGGGTGCTGCAGAGGAGGTTTTGTTCTGTATTTATCCCCAACCCTTGCAGAAGTTCCTCTACACAGCTACTCCCCAGCAGCCTTTGGAACACCCTTTAGGCCTCTGTTACATTTGTGGCTTGCCTCAGGATCTAAGAGAGGAAAGTGTATTTTTCTAATCTTCTTGTTTTGAGTCCCCAGACACACTCACACAATAATGTCTGTCAGGATGGAATATACTTATGTTCTAGAGTACCACATGATGAGTGCTCTGTGCTCTGGGTACAGGCTGATAGAGTTATACTTTAGGAAGGGAAGTTCAAACCTTCAACCCAGGATGTCCAATATGCCTGTAACAATATCAGGCATTTAAATAAAACAGTATGATCTTTAAAGGAAAACTCACCTCCAGCTCAAATTTACTTCAGCAGAATTTGTCACTCCTGCAGTACTTTTGAAAACCAGTCCACCTCTTTTCAAGTTCCTAATTATGGAATTAGGCACCTAATTTTAGGTACTTATTTCTGAAACTGTTGACCCATGGGCTTGATTGTCCTCTTGTTGCATCAGCTCTCCCTGGTGCAAATGCATCAATTAAAACACTGGAGGTACTTCTAAGGAAGCCTGTCCCATGTCTGGAAAATCAGGATCTGTGATGGAGTAGGAACAGCAATATTTTAGTTTTCTTTCTTAGAAATACAGAAATTGTGGTCACAGTGTTAAATATTTGGAAGAGTGAACAAACATAGAAAGCAT